GTACCATCTCCTATAAATATATAGACACACAAATACAGGTTTTATCAACCAAATTTATAATTATTTCAACAATTTTTTCTGTTTTCCTTTTTATTCTTAGAGTCAAATTCTACTGGTACAGTACTAAATTATATTCTGTACAGATGGCACATAAATACAGGAAGTAATTACCTTGCTTTTTTTCCCTCCAACCTTTAAAATTGACATAAAACTAGGATAACATAAGAACTCGTCTTATTCTACCAGAGATCTTATAGCTATGTCAGACATTTATAAGAGATGCACAAATACAGGTGGAGACGTTTGCAGAAAATAATTTATCTAATTTATAGACAATAAAAAACAATTACTTTTCTATATCCAGATAATTTGTGTGCAAAAGATAATTATCATGTTTCTTGGCAAATATTCTTTCTAGACAGTTAATACTGTTATTGTGTACTGATGCACACAGCATGTTCAGTGCTGGTTGGAAATGGACTAGAAGTTGCATTGTATCCTTGTGACCCCTACAGAACTATTACTAACCCTAGAGAAGGACGGACAATTTAAAGGTTAAATAGCTCTGAACACCCAGTCAGCAAAGCCAACAGACTAGGTGTTAAAATGTTAAAATATAAAATTAATAAAGTGAAAGGTATAACAATTTAACAAACTGTATCTGTGGTAATATACAGTATTAACATTATGTTGCTACAAATAGTCTGACAGTTATAGGTTACTCTCCAGGCTCCCACTCAGTTGTAATCCTATATGCCTTATGATAAGAATAGTGTGAGAAACTAGTGTGTGTTTCCACAGTTTAAATCAGTTGTAGTCTAGCTATTAAAGTTGTTAGACCAAACCATGTTTTGTGCTATTTAGCAAAACATAACATTGTGTCAGAAGTGACAATTTTAGAATAAGTTGTATTTATGTATTTGAAGAGATCAAACAGATATTAAGCAAAGAACCTGTGTTGAAATACTTCAATGTTAAGAAGTTTGTCATTGTTAGTTGTAATGCATCAAAATCTGGACTTTAAGCAGTGTTAATGCAGTCAGGCAAACACATAGCATTTACATCAAGGTCTTTGACAGATGCAGAAACAAGGTCTGCACAGATTGGAAGAGAATTGCTTGTTGTATTATTTGGTCTTGAAAGATTTAATCATTACACTTATGATCATCAAGTACAAGTTGAATTGGATCATAAACCACTGGAATCAATCCTCAAGAAACCTCTATCTGCCACACCGCCTATATTTGAAAGGGGTGTTTTTAAGACTGCAGAAGTAGTTTTGACTTGATGTATTGTCCAGGGAAAGAGTTAATTGTAGCAGATACCTTGTCGAGAGCATACAGACAAATGCATCTGAGATGAACGTGGATAGTGAAATTGAGTGCTATGTGCACATGATCATATCAGATATACAGATTGCAGATACACAGAAGCAATAAAGAATGGAACTAACAGTGATGATAAAATGACCAAATTACGCGAAATGATTCAAAATGTATGGCCATATGATAAACATCTTGTACCATTTGAAATAAGAAATTTCTGGAATTGCAGAGATGAAATGGATGGATTAGTTCTAAAAGGAGAGAAGATTGTAATACCAGATGCTCTTCATAAAGAAATGCTAAAAGAGTTGGACAAAAGTCATATGGGCATTGAGAAGACAAAGCAAAAAGCAAGAGACATTATGAATTGGCCTGGCATGAATGCACAGATTGCAGACACATTATATAATTGGTCTACTTGCCAGGAATACAGAAAGTCAAATAAAAAAGAATCATCTCTACACAACCTAATGCACCATGGGAAATGGTTGGAACATATTTATTTATGCGGAATAATTACAACTGTGTCATGATAGTAGACTATAGCTCCAAATATTTCAAAGTTGCCAACTTAGGAAAATATATGAGCAAGCACAGTAATCACACAAAGTCAATTTTTGCAAGACATGGAATACCACAAGAAGTAATGAGTGATAAAATAGACCACAGTTATCCTCAAAAGAATATGGTCAGTTTGCAAAAACCTAAGGATTCAAACACACTTTGACAAGTCCCAAGTATCCACAATCTAATTGTTCAGCAGAAAGAACCATTCAAACTGTCAAAGAAATTCTCAATAAGGCAAAGAGATAAAGAAAAGATCCATATTTATCGACATTGAAGTATCAAAATACACCAAATGACGATATAGGATCTCCCACTGAAATACTGAGTTGAAGACTTCGATCGACTCTACCTACTACCAACATACAGCTACATAAGCAAGTTAAAAAAGAAAAACCTAAAGTGGAAACTGGTTGATAGAAAAATCAGAAAAGAAACAGTATAAGAGAAAGAGCTTCATAATATGACTTATGGAGACAAAGTTAAAATCAGAAGACAAGATCTTTGGGAATCAGCTGTAGTCATCAGAAAAAGTAGCACTCCAAGGTTGTATGATGTTCAAGTCCAGGATGGTACTATATGAATTAGTTGAGTCATAGTAAATCAGCATAGGGTGTCACATGATTATATCTTTGACCACTTGAAATGCCTTCTTCTGAAGTTCGTCCCAGAAATAGTCCACATCTTTCTTCAAGAGGGTGCATAAAGGGCCTATAAACCTCTGCTAAATTTGGTGTGAATTTAGAAAGATAGTTAACCATTCCTAATAGGTTTTTCTAATTTGTACCTGTGTTTGAGAGCATCAAGATTAAGAATAGCTTCAACCTTGTTTTGGTCATGATCAGGTTGTAAATCTGACAAGCTTATTGTATGGCCAAAGATACTTACGTTGCACCTATTACACATTTGTGTGAGTTGAGATGCACACCCTTTAAGTATTCACATTCAAGTACAATGTGAACATGTCAGGTGCCAAGAGGTCTAAAGTGCTGACCATTATGGATCACTGCCATCTCACCTCAGTCTGCGTGAGTTCAAGTCCAGACTCGGCTAACATAAGTGAGAAAGCCTGCAAGTAGCTTCTCGTGGGTCGGTGGTTCTTCCCAGCATTTTCCAGGGTTCTTTCTCTACCATTAATACTAGCCGCCATGTATAGCCTATCTTGTGCTGAAAATGGCGTTAAACCCTAAAACAACATGTCATGTTCCTTGTTAGAATGTCCCCACACCATTGTCATACATGCAACATTTTATTAGCCCTCAAATTATTTTATCCATTTTCATTGTAAATATGTTGTGTGAACTTTTTATCCCAATATGTAACCTAAGATATTGGTACCATCCTAAAGGTATACTAAATGTAGTTAGGTATGAAAATTTGTCTTCAAGTTTCACGCTGCAGTAGCCATGTATACAGTCTAATGTGCTGAAATACTTGGCATCAGTTTGTATAGTTGTGACATTATCAATTGTTAGCATAGGATGGTGGGGCCTAAGGATTGAATCATTTGGGTCTAAGCAAATATGCAATTTACCGATTTTAGTTTCTGTTATTATAAGGGAGTTGACCCAATCGGTGGGTTCTAACCCTATCAATACTTGTGCACGCTTCCATTCTTGTGAGTTCTTTAAGCTTTCATTTTATGCTTCTGGTATGATGGGTTTACTGCTGGTACTGCATCAGGTTTAAGATGAAGCTTGTACTCACCAGGAAACACCTATTCCCTGAAACATGTCAATGAACATACTTGTAACAGCTGATTAATCTAAGCCAGACTCATTATCAATAGCATAAGTCAGCTGAACTAACTGTAAGTCAAGTGAAGTTAGAAGGGTTATGTGAGCTACAGCCTGACTATCTACTATGTTAAAGTTATGTTTTGACAGTTTTGATGTTGCATGAAAAGGAAGGCATTATCTTGGCCACTACTGAAATCAGATTCCCTGTGTATGATACAAGCTTACTGTCATGGGGTATTAAGGGGTCTTTAATATTTAGTGTTTTGTACAACACCAGTGAAGAATGTTTACTTGTGACCTGGTATCTATTTTAAATTTATGAGGTTTGGGGAGGGTCAATACATAACTGGAAAAATACACTGTCTGGAGATGAGAGAGATGAAGTCCTTACCGTGCCTATGTAAAATTCCTTGTCATTATTTGTATTCCGTGCACTGTTACTACTCTCATTATAATCAAATCCCTGGTCACTGTTTAATATATCTGCACAGTTTTGGACCTGCACATTTTTTCAAATGATTCAGTTTACCATATTCTTTGCAAGTTACACCTCTAGCTGGACACAGCAAGTTGTTCAACTGGTTCTTGTTTCCACAATTACCACATGATTTGTGTTATGAACTGCTTGGGCCTTGCACCATTGTGATGTTGTGTCTGATGTGTCTGCATTGACTTCAGGGATTGTTGCCAGTGATATACCCTGGGTTTGTTTCCACCTGCACTCTGTTTTAGCATGATGTTTGAAATCGACATAGAGTTTGATTGCTGCTAACAACATTAAAAGTTATGAATGGTTTGGAAAGCTTTGTCAACTTGTCTCCTTCATTAATCAGTTTCTCTTGAACTCTCTGAATATTCATCTCAAATACAATTCTATCATTTTATCATCTCGTCTGCATCATGAAAGTTGCAGTCTCTGGCTTTCAGTCTAAACCGTGTGACATAGGAATCAATTGATTCTGACCCTTGTACCGCACAAATATAGGATTTAACTTTGGTTGCATGTGTGCTTTGAAACGGTCATAGAATGTTTGTTGTTTATTAGTGTCTTCATTTGAAATACCAGTCCATGTTTCTTAGACATTGTTACCCTTTGTCCCCAACCCACAACAAAAGGTATGACACCTTTTCAGCTTCTGTTTTTTTAAGTGGTCCATTACAAATCAAAGTGATATGTAATTTAAACATTTCACACTGTTCCAGCAAGTGCGTAGATTCCCAGTCCATGACTGCTGGCAGAATACCACTTCTACTTTATGCACAACTCTCAAGTTAATACACGATTTCAACTTAATGCATTAATCCCATTTCTGACACCAAGCAGTGTTTCTTGTCATGAGCTATCTCAAGTGAGATGTAGATACTGAAACAGAACTGCTCTGGTGGCCTAGTGATTAGAGCGTCCACCTTGGATGCGGGAGGTCATGAGTTCGATCCCCAGTGTCAGGTTAATGATGCCCCAGTGCTAGACATCACTATAAACTGCATTATAATAAGAGAGCACAATATAATGAAGGACATTATAATCAGGGAGAGCTCATCACTTCATTTGCAAACCATACCATTTACTTCTATGTCTGCTTAAACTGGTATTATGCCACCTTATCACACCTCTCCCTCGATAACTTGCAAACCCACTTTAATATGGAGTCAAGTGTGGATCCCATTTTTTAAACCAGAAAATGCCCCAAAAATTGATACCTATTTATTGAGATTGAAGAAAATCACAATCAAAATTATTAACAGAAACTTTGATATATCACTTGTGTTATCATTGAAGCGGTAGATAAGAAATGAAACTTTAATTAACATTATGATATGTCAAATTTAAAAATAAGTCATAAAAAAAAATTTACGTTTTGTTTACAAACTGTCGTACACCGCAATTAACAATAATATGCAAGGAAATTTTGATCAATGAAAATTTCACTTGTGCATAGTGGAAGCGGTACTTTAATAAATAAACATAAATTAAATAATTTTTATCAATTGAAATTTATGTTCTAGTTCTATCTTTAAGTTCATTTTAAGTGTAATCATCATAAATGAATTGTCCTCTTGTAATTAAATGTAAAATGTGTAAATCTGTCATAACAGCTATGTCTGCAAGTGTTTCTCTTAGAACCTTTTTAGATGTCAACCATGTTTTGATAACTGACATGAAGTATTTCTAGTATTGCTGCACTGAATTAAATAAAGCTGGCCTCCTTTATCATATTAATTATGTCTTTTGAATAAAAAAAATGGATCTGGAATAAAAGAAAAGTTAAAACACACGAAAATCCTACAAACTTAATATCTAGTGGCCCTGGTTGTCTGATGAACTTGCTTCATTTGATCAATCAGTTATAAATGTTACATAAACTACCTTAAATTAACTGATCCACTGGTAACTGATCAAAGATACCAAGGCATATCAAGCAAAATGAATATTTCATTAAATAATGCTTGGTTTCACAGATATGGGCAAGCAAGTTTCACCAAAATGGCACTAAGTTATCCTCGTGGATACTAAGAAGTTTCATTATTACTTCCAATGAAATCATGATATCAATACTGTACTAATTGAACAATGCAAAAAATGAAATTCAACATAGACAATTGTCTCAAGAAATAAATTCTGCTTGTTTTTTTAAAAAATGAATTATTTTTTTTGGTGGTGTATCAACTGTTAGTCTAGTTCCCCACTCTTTTGACTCCCGATTTGGCAGGATACTATTAAATACCACACCGGGAACCAGATTCATCAAGAAACAAAAAGCAGTGATGTAATTCACTAATGTTTTTGTGCACATGTGATGGCTGTTGAAACCTGTGGGGATGATCTTTCATATGTTGGACATTTTGACAATAAATTTTATTTAAACCAAAATACGAACAACTTCATTAAAAAAAGCACGTCTTTAAAAATTATTATAAATGTGATTGTAAAATGAGCATTCTAATCATTAAACTACCCAGTTCCCTAACCCTAACCCCACCCCCACTGTTTTCTTAATGTCTAAGCTAATTTTTTCAACTTTTTGAGGTCCCTCAGTAACTCGCACCCTCATTTATAGTGCGGTCTATATTTGCGGACATCATTATGCACGAGTTATCAAGGGACTGGTATATATGCATAGACTGCAAAGACATGAAGTTTTGTCCGTCTACTGATTAGTATAATCTGTCAATGCCACCAAGTAAATATGCATGCAAAGTATGAATGCAATTTCCTAATTATTAGACAATTTTAAATTTTAAAATATAATTTATATTAAAAACTGCTACTTTACAGTTGACTTTATAGCAAATAATAGGGAACATTTAACTACAAAGTATGTTTTACATGACTGTCATCACTAACAAAATTTCACAGAAAAATGTTCAACAAGACTATCCAAATAGTAATGTTAACTGGCAGTCTGAAAGATTAGAACCTTTTAAACTGAATCAAGGAAAACAAACTGCTTATTTCATTTTTTGTTAAAATTACATCTAACAATAACTTAGTGACATCCATCATGTTTTTATAACTTTATTAAAACAAACGGGGGTCTGATATTGCCCACCTGGCCAACATCTCCTTATCAGCCATATACAGGAGTTGGCCAAAATACTTAAGTCAGTAGGATACTTTCTGTTTAAGTATTTCTCTGATGTTGATCCAATTTTTAAAGAAAACAATTGTTTTAAGGTTTCAGTTTTTTATGTGCATCCACATCAGCATCATATGTATAATATTAAAAGGATTTACAAGGCATGATGCTTTCTGTCAAGGCTGCTAAGATCCTTTACAGCATTTTTTTTTTTGCAATAAAGTTTCAATTATTTATATTTGAAGTTAAGATGACTTTATTTGGTGGTATGTTGGGATGTTTATAATTCAAATTCTGTTGAGAGATCTTTGAGAAAACACTTTTAAGTTTTTCTGTTTTTAGGAATAGTGGAAGAGGATTGGCATCATTTGTACATTTTCAAAAAATCTTGATGCTAACATGCTTTCTGTAAATGTTGTGATTTTATTAATACAATTCTTGACTTAAGGAAAGTCAGTGGTATGCTAAAATCCCCTCCTGCCACACCACTCAGTGACCCTGAAGCCAGAAACCCAGATTTATTATATATAAAATGTTCCTTCTTGTTTTGACTCAAAATGATTTACAAAATCTCAGCAACATATATAAGTAATAGTCAGTACAGAGCTTTATGGTAAGATAAATTAATAAAATACTATTAAACTTTAGGCATGGCAAAATAATTAAATATACTCCAACATCTCTCAAATAATCTATAGTAAAAAATACAAGGTATGTTACACTTCTGAAAATAGTGCAACCACAATGATTTGTCAACATGCCAGATCATGTTTGAGTTTACAGAGAGGAAAATACAGTTGCTATCTAGACCACATAATTATTCCATTATTTAACAAGTACAACTTAATCATACAACAGGAGGAGCCTATGATCTACAAACTAAGAGATAGAAATTACTGCTATTGTATTACAACAGTGCAAGTCAATACAGGAAGGAACTGTTAACATTATTTCATCCCAGCATTTCATCATGCATCCTTGAATTTACTAATAAGATCCGATTACTTGCCAGCTCATTTAGTGTTTAAGATCTCAGAATTCAATTAATCTACTTGGTAATTCATAACCTTTGCTTCCAAGTTATTTCACCAGTTGGTTTATTTGGGTTCCATACACATATATCTTGATGGGAAATACATCTCGCTGTTAAAATCACTCATCATCTTTTTGACACATCAGCAACTGCAATGTGTTTCAGAAGTTCATTATTCAAGGGAAACCTCTTAACAATGTAATCACAAACAGTTGTCCAATAGTCCCTTATAGCTTTATAGAACTGACAAAGGCTACTTTCAGACAAGTATTTTCTTGTTTATGAACTTTCTGTAAATGTTATCATGTGACTTTTGTTTCTTAGTCATGATAATCAATATCAGTAAGATACTTGGCTTGTGAAAATTATATAGCTTTACAAATCTGATCAGCAACTGCTTTAATAATTCAAGCATGTTGTCTCTAAGTTTGTGGATCATAGGCTCCTCCTGTTGTATGATTAAGTTGTACTTGTTAAATAATGGAATTATGTGGGCTGACGGCAAAGCCTTACACACACTATCTTTTCCTCTGAAACTGATCTTTTTTAAACTGTCTTTTCAGTCATTTCTAACCAATGGTATCTAGACAGTACCTTTTTATCTGATTTCTGTGATTTATCTTTCTCTAAGGAACCTATCTTGGGTTTTATTTTATTTTTTTTTTTTATTCTTTTATTTTCTTTCCTGCTGAGATTGACTTGAGGGTAGTACTAGCCTGACTTAGAGATTTATCACAGCTCAAAGCTTTACTACATGTACCTGTACTGTCATTATTTATTTTTTATGTGGAACTTGATCCTTGGAACTAGACATCTTCTCTGACATCCTACTTTTAGCTTTAGCTCTTTTGCCTTTAACCTCTTGTTTCTTGGTTTCTTTACCAAAATATATTTGTAATCGTTCCCACTGTTCCAAAAGTCTCTTTATACCTTCACCAAGAGACAACCATCTTATTACACAATGCTTCAATATTTTTCTCTGATCTTTCCCTCAAAGAGTCTGAAGATCTTTCAGTTCTGTTTGTCTATTCACACTTTTATCCAAATAATAAGTAATCAAAACTAACAGGCAGCATATCAGCCCTCTTTTTAGTGACATGAACATACACTCAGATACACTGAGGGATTCACCATAGTCATATGTCCAAATACACCGTTATTGCAACCTGTCATCACTGAAGCATTATCTTATTTAAAGGCAATACAGTTATTCCAACTTAGGTTTCTCTTTTTTAATTATCCAATAATGTGAAAATATTTTTCCAAGTAAAGGCTCCATCACATGTTGGAACTGAAAAAAGTACTTCAGTTACAACACCATCTGTGTTATCAAAATAATTAACAACAACTGGGTACAGCTTCTCAGAATCATTGCTACTAACAGTTGCTATACTGAAAGGCTGGGATGAAATAATGTTAACAGTTCCTTCCTGTATTGACTTGCACTGTTGTAATACAATAGCAGTAATTTCTGTTCTGCCACACAAAATAACTATTTGCTTCTGATAATTTAAGAAACATGCACTTAAATAGTTTAGAAGCATGGTCTAGCAAGTCTAACATAATGCTCAACCAAAAGTTTTTTTTATATTTCTCTCCCAGTGTGAAGATCATTGGTCATAATCAAAGTTATATTTGACTTGAGTGTCAGCTCTATTATAAATGACTTTTAAAAAAAAATATTGTTATTGAATCTTATAGCAGAATTAAATTTTTCCATGACTATCGACTGTGTTATGTTACTGCACCTTTTGAACTAAGTGACCATATGACCTATCATGTGATCTAAAATTGCATTGTAGTTAGGGTTAAGACAGATTTTATAGTGATTTAAATCAGT